GGCATAAACTTGTTTAGCAAAGGTATTTTGTACTAGTGTATAGATGATTGATTGGATGGGAAATCAAAGAACAAGTGAAAAAGTGAGAGAAAATATTTGAATGTAGAAAAATGAGAAAGTGATATGAATGGAAAGTGAAGTGCATGAATTAAGCTTAGAGAAAGTGAGAGAAAAGTCATGGAAACTTATTAAGCGGTTGTGGTCTTCAACCATAAGGTGACTTGGCCAAAACCAACTAGTAAATTGGAGGGAAATTGGTGACAACTCCAAGGCTAGCTTTAAACCAATACAATGCACCATTCCAAGCCTAATTTACACCTCCTTAAAGATGCACATATCATGCCTATTTTGCCCTTTGAAAGCTCTCTTTGGTTGCCTTGAAAATATGTCTTCAATTAACACATTAATTTACCTAAGTCACAATTCAATCAAATAATTATAGTATAATATTTATTTAATTGGATTAAGATAAGAAATATTTAATTCATCCAAAGTAATAAAATGACTGAAGGAAAATGAGTATAAAAGCTTCACTAGACACAAATTTAGACTAGCACACACTTAAATTAAAATCAAAGGCTAAGTAAAAACCCTTAGAGAGATAATTTTAAATTTTTTTTTCTAATAACTCTCAACCTTAAATGAATCAATAAAAACTAATTTGACCAATCATCTTAACCCATTAAAAGACATAATTCACAATCTTAACCTCACTTGCATGTGATTTAACACTTAGGCAAATTTGTACTAAAAATGTAATATGAATGCATATGAACTCTTACAGGGCATTAAAATGGCCTCTTTAAGTTAATAAATGTGTGTAAATAATGTGTCTTATCATTAGTTTTAAGGTTAAAAATTCTGTATGCCTTGCTTTTATTAAACTAGCTTATAAAAATTGCCATATCAGACTTGGCATCAAATTTGCTTAGATTCTCCTTGTTGCTATTATTGTGGATGAACACTTTGCTTCCAAGCACATGAAGGTGGGAAATGTTTGGCTTCCTCCCTATGGAGTTTTGTTGAGTTTGGGTTTGACATATGCTCTATTAATAATGTAGCATGCAGTGCTCATTACATCTACCTAGAGCACTTATGATACTCCATTGTTGTTCAACATAGCTCTCATCATTTCAATGAGTACTTTATTTTTTTTTCTTTCTACAATAACATTCTATGAAGGTGTTATACTGATAAATTGTGGCCAATTCCATTTTCGTCACAAAACTTCATGAGTTCTCCATTCTCAAACTCTCCTTCATAGTCAAAGTTAATAAACACAATAGATATACATTTCTCATTTTGGACCTTTTTAGCCAAAGTACTAAAAGAATAGAATGTGTCATCCTTAGAGTTAAGGAAGAAGGTCCAAGTAAATCTAGAATAATTATCCATAAGAACAAGTGTATAAAGCTTAGTACTAAAGCTTTTTTCTCTTAAAGGACCTACCAAATCTAAATGCAAGAGTTAAAAAAGTTTTTCAGTAGAGATATAATCTTTAGGTTTAAAGGATGATTTAATTTGTTTCTCAAATTGACATGCTTGGTGTACTTTCTCCTGAACAAAGCTTAAGGGTGGAAGGCCAATGACCAAATCCTTTTTCTCTAACTTTTCTAATTTCTTTTTATTAACTTCAGCCAAGTGTCATTGTTACAAAAAGGTTTCCTTACATTTACTTAGAAAACATCTTTGAGAAAGTAGTTCTAAATCAAGATCAAATGTATAGCAATTATTATCCTTGTCTCCATGAAGAATGACCTTTCTATCTAACTTTCTTTGAATAATGTAGAATTTAGAATCAAATATGACTCTATTTCCTTTGGCATAGCACTGACTAACACTCATGAGGTTGTGGAAGAGTCCTTTGACTTTGTTTCCTTTTCCAACACTAGTAATCTGTTCCTTCTGATTTTCTCCAAAGGTCACATGACTCCCTTCTCTTTTAAGTAGTTCAATGAACTAATCAATATATATAGTCTTATGTCTTTAGCATCCATTGTCTATGCACCACTTCTTCATTTTCTTCTTTGAGATAATGAGGCATACATCATTTCATTGTTCAATTAAATCATCTTCTTGTTGTACAAGGCACAAGTTAGCCTTCTCCTCCTCTTCTTCTTCATCCTTAAAGAAGCTATCTCCCTAAGCAGTAAATGATTTCTTTTTATGAGGATTCTCCTTCTTCTTTTCCTTTGCTTGCTTTCTTTGTCATTATGGACAATTTCACTTAATGTATCTAGGCTTTTTGCATTCATAACAAGTGAGAGGCTCCTTTTGATCTTTCTTGTTGTCGTTGGAGGATCATCTTTTAAAGTTCTTACCCTTGTAGAACTTATTAAAATATCTTACCATCACAGCAAACTTCTAATACGTGTTAGACTCAACCTCTTCTTCTGCTTCTTCTTTTGTGAGAGCATTTTGTTTCTTTTTCTCGTTCATTTCTTCTTTATATCGTATAAGAGTAGGTTTATGCTCTTTTGAGCTTCTAAATAGTGTAAATATAGATCTTATAGAAACTCCTTTAGCTTTAGTGATTGGAGTGATTTTAGATTGCTACTCTATAGGTATACTTTTGAGTAGGTTTCTTGAGTATAGTTTTTTCCTAGATTCATCAAGTGGTTGATGATATGCATAAATATAATTTGCATATCTAGAAGGTTTCTCCATCCTTCATCTCAAAAGTCTCATGCTTGTGTATAAGACTATTTTTCTCCATCCTTCATCTTGATTTGCATGTGAATTTTTCTTTTCTCTTCTCTCTCATCAGCCCATTATTTCCAACCATCATAAGAACATAAGGACCTTTTCTAATGATGTCTAGCATCTTTATGTTAAGATCCTCCAAGTACATCATCATATGACTCTTCTAGAAAGGATAGTCTTCTCCTTTAAAAATTAGTGATCTGATGGTTGACAATCCTTCATCAATATTATCATCTACAAAATATTCTATTAGTAGGATCTTTTACTCATATTATTAAATCTAAAATAAGCAACCTTGGTCTAGTACTAATTGCAAAGATACTAATGGAGCTTATTTATCACTTTTTGATGTGCGGATGGCTTGACTTTGCTTCGAACTCAACCCTAGGGCTGAAATTACAACCAAAAACACCCATTAACACTTTGTAATCACACACCACATTAATTTATTTAATCAACCCCATTTACTTAGTTAATTAGGGGTTAAATTCTTTAGGATGTTACATGATCTTTGTTGAAGTCAGTTGTCTAATGTCAATTACTGCCACTTTCTTGTCCCAGTTGACTTCAAAGGTTTAGTCCCAAATTATAGATAGATGGTTTTTGGTCATTGTCATCATTGGGTCCCATTGGTAGAGGTTGGATCATGTTTAGTGTTGATAGTCTTGTTCTAGTCAATGATGGCTGCATTTAGCACTAGATGACAAAGGTTGATGGATTGTAGACAATGATCACGCATCAATCCCAGACAACAATGGCAGTGGCAGACTGACACCAATTGGTGGCGGCGAACTAGCACTAGATGACAAAAATTAACCTACATCGGATGACAGCAATAGACTAGCATTGGATGATGGCGGTGAAGGGTGATTAAAAATGAATTGAAATTTGAAATTCTTAATATGAAAAGAAGGGATTTAAAATTACAAAGGAAGTATATTTAAGTATGGATTTGGAAATTTGACTCAAATTCAAATCTAAACCTAAATCCATGTACATCCAAACATATTTAATTTTTAGATAACATTTATGTTTAAAGAGAGGTAATTTTGTCCAACATATATGATTTAGTTTCAGTCATAGGAGACCACACTCTTCGATGGTCGATTCTTAGCTCTCTAAGACCCATAGCCTCCACTCCTTCCCTCAACCTTTCATCGTTAACCTCAACATTGAATGGCACCCAAATTTCCAGTGAAATATGGAACGTGATCTAAAATATTCCATTTCAAATCCATGTACAGTATACTCCATTAATGTCAAATAATTGCATTTTAAAATAACCCAGAAATATAAACTAAATCTTCCATTGAATTTAACAGTGCCTCCCATCAATTATTTAATTTTTTTTGGGGGCGCCCCTAGCATGGCACCAGGATTTCATATCTGGACTTCAAACTGCGAATCTAAACTGCCAAACCATGGAAGGGAGAGAATCACGTAATGGAAGAATGGCAGCACGACAAAAAGCAGTCAGGCCGTGACCTTCAAACAACGAATCGATGTGCTAGAGAAGGACCTTCAACAGTATGAGGTAAGCCGTTGCTGGGAGGATATGAAAAGGACCGAATCTGGGTGCTAGAGAAGGACCTTTAATAGGTTTGCTGTTGGGAGGGTGAGAAGGACCAAATCGGCATGCTAGAGAGAACCTTCGATAGGTTGCTTCGATCTGGCTTATTGATTCAATCGACTTGGTTTTCAGACTTAGTTCGGCTTGTTGATTTTAGATTCAATGATTTTAGTATTTTATTTCAAATTTAGTTTTTTATTTCCCACATTAAGACATTTGGATGTCTTTGCATAGCATATGCCAGATGTCTAACCAAAAAGCCATTTCTTAATAAAATGTAGTTAGTTCATTCACAAACGGAATCTGATAGTGTAAGGTAACATTATACTCTTTTTGAAAGATCAAAGGTGCATTGCACTTTTTGAAAGTTAAAGCTACTAATTGCGTCTCATGAAAAAGTTTGGAGGTGAATTTACACTTTAACCCTTTTATTTAACTATGAGCTTGTACAAAGAACGTGAAAAAATAATAGTAATGTGATAAATTAGTTGAACATTTAAGACGAACAAATGCAACTTCTACTATGATAACGTAAATAAAAAAAAATGTTTGCACGTGTAAATAAGAAAATAATTAACAATGTTCATCCCCTTTCTTGAAAATTTAATCAAATTTGAAATCAAGCTTATCATAATAACTTTATAACAAAGTAAAGTTTGAATCCTGCTCCTAAACAAATAATGGCATGCCCATCTTATATGATTGAATAGATAAAACAGTAAAAAGGTAAAATAATAAAATGTATGAATAAAAGTTCATTTTGGAAAATTCCATCAAGTTCATCAAATGAATCTCATGTAAATTAAGAAGATCGATTCCGGCACACAGAATGTGCTTTTGATTCTAACAACGACACATATTTATCAAGCATTGACACCACAGCCTCAAATTCAGTTACTTGGTGATCGATTGCATCAATTTGCTGAACATACTCATCAAAGTTACCACTCTTGGATTTCAACTGCTCCATGTATACCCTTAACCCAGAAGCCAAATCACCAAAGCCCTTGTACTCTTCTGCTACTCTCATATTCATCTTCTCCAGAAGCTCTAAATGATTATTGGTTCCCTGGGAAAAAATGAAGGGAGAAATTTCAAAAATAACTCAACTTTTAATCTAATATAATCTAACAACTGCAATGAATATTTGACTTTGAAGCTCTAGAAATTTCAAGGAAACATTAATCATGAGTATAGTTTCAACAGAGAGAGAATTTGGGATTACTTGAAGCTCCGATTTAACCATGGTTGAAACGCTAGAGAAGAGATCATTAAGTGACTCAGCCAGATCGTCAGGACTCTGCTCGGTTGGTCCATCATCTTTTGAAGTAGCCATGGCTTTGTCTGCCATTATGACAGCAAATACCACCCAGTGAGGACCAGAAATAGCAAATTTAGATACATGCCAAAACATCATATCCCTGATGAAAATATCTTTAAGAATGATTAAAGTATAACACACATAGGTCGCCTCATCTATCGAATTTCCAAAAGGAAAGATTAAAATCCCCAAATTGTTCATCAAAGTCACGCATGCTGTTTAGCAACAAGCCTGCATACTTAAATCGTGGAATAAAATTTGTTCATTGAAAGCTTAAACTGCAGCCATCTTGACCTAGTACAAAAGATCTATTCATCAGATGTAGGACTTTGACATTTAGTTCACTAGCAATGTGACTGGAAAGTATGTGCATTTGTATGTGACATGAGTGGGTGTGCACGCGCATGGATATGGGTGTATCATGTATGTGAAAGACAATGAAATAAACAGAGAATGGTCAACCATTTTGGTGAACCCAGTGATGTAGTTGTGATGATGAAATGTATTTATTGTCCGTGACAGGAGAAAGTATTATCTTAGAAAAAAATTTGGTTGATGTTTACAGACCTAACTCAAATACTCCCAGTATCTCTTGAACAATGGCCTGGATTCACTTATTATAGGAGACGGCCCAAATCCTAAATGTTAGTCCAGCACATGTGGATGCGTAATTTTGAGATTTTGTTAGTTGACACTTGACAGTTAGAGGTAAGAGAGGAAAGGCGGGGGTATAATGGAGATTGTGGAGGGATGAGGTAGGCAAGATTTGGGCAGAACTTAGGAGAGTCTATGCCTCTCGAACGCACAGAGTGGTGCTGTTCATTTTCCTTGACTAGTGTAATCCTCCATTAGACCTACACTCTCTGCAGGGATTTGCAATTCAATAACACAATTCAGAAGTGGTTTCATCAGGATGTAGGAGACAGTATCCTCTCCTACATCCTATCTGTCCAGTATGCCTTATTTTCAACTATTATAAGATTTTGATGCATCAGAACAATTTCACAAACCCATGAGGCTGAAAATGTTAATGCAATATGCAATCTCATTTACTTATCCACAGTGGGCCCATCAGTCGTATTTTCTTTGTTCATATACAGCTTATCACACAACTGAACTGCTTTTCAGAGCGAAAATTCAGTGTTTTCCAGACTTCCCTCTCCGAGATGCAACAATCCACGCTGTAAGTAATAATTCTGCAAACTCCAACACATTATCAAGAGATATTCCATTCTCAGCTGGTGTAGCTGACATTAAACCAGTTAATGTCAATTGCAAGAGTCTTGAAGCCAGAAAATCTAACGTTAACAAGTAAAATGTATCAACATCACTGTCCTGGTCGTCATAGGCGGACCTAGACTAAACTCATGCCCCCACTTAAATCTTTGAAATATGCATGGTTGATATAATAACCTTTCAACTTTTCATCTAGATACTTTGACACAACTCAAACCAAGTCATTACAAGATCATACACAACAAATACCCGAGAATTTCCCAAACTGATGATTAATAAAAAGATTTAGAAACAGAATGCCAATACGCAACAAATCCAACATTGCAAGACAAAAATATCCAGCTCATGTAAGTCGCTAGAAATCAAAATGAAGAGCGAAGAAGTATAATACCAATTACACACCATTCAAGCAAGAACTAGTGCCAAAAAAAAAAACTCAATAGGAAAATATTCCCAAATGCAAAGGCGTCAATATTCAACGATTACACGACCAGATTCAAAACCAAATTAAAATGAAAAAACAAAGACAAATCAAGAACAGCCCCGCTGGGAACAAATTCAAATCCAGATTCAAAACCAGATTCAACAAATCAATCACCCGATTTAGGAGTAGAAAAGACCTAGGGTTGGAACCTTCTTCACTGCTTGCCCGAGAACGACCACGCACGGCTGACAATGGCGGACGGCGTCCAACGGAGTATGGGATGCTTCTTCGTCGACAAAGAGCTTATGAGAATGGGTTTCATCGGGGGTTATAATTAATTTTAAGAAGAATTTGGTGCAAGGCCTAAATTAATTATTCAAATAACAAAATAAACTAAAAAAATGGCATTAACATCTCTTTAAATTATTTAAATCATATTTTGATCTTTTAAAATGAAATAATTTTTCTAAAATTTTTAAAAAAAATTTCTGTCATTAATAATTAAAAAATTATTATAAAATATTAAATTATCCTTGATTAAAATAAAAATCCCAAGGCTTAGAATAGATATTTTCGAACTTGTAAATTGACATTAAATTCTTTTAATTTAAAAAAAAGTTGTGAATATTAAAATAAAATTTATAAATGATAATTTATATTTGCAATACTTGAGGAATATCAAGATTTCAAATATAAATTTGCAAATTGCTGTTCAATTCTTGTGAATTTAAAAAGAAAAATTATGAATCTTAAAACAAAACTTATGAATGACAATCAATATTTACAACACTTAAGAAATATTAAGATTTTTAAATGTGAACTTGTGAATTGTTATTAAAATTTGTTCCTCTTGAAATCATTATCATTGGAAAATTAAGAACAATTAATGGTTCTTTAAGTCCTTATTTTGTCAATCTCAACTCCATACTTCCTTAGATTTCTATATATCTCAAGAGCTCATAATAATTCTTTGCATATTAAATTATGTCATATCAATATATGATCATTTAGAATATCAGATGCGTTATAGACTATTGAATTAAATGTGATTTGGTATGGAATATCATTTTTCAATATCAGGTATTTCAATTCATAATTGCTAGAACTCGTCACGAATCACATTATATTAAATTCCATGCTCTAACATGCTTTCTTTCATAACTCTTATAATGACATATAAAGATGTTACTTGATACAAGAAATTAAACATCCTCCATCACCCTTCCTAGATCATTCCATATGACACAAGAGATCTTGGACTTTATTGTGAACTTCATCATTTCCATTGCTCGAGGGGATGTAGTGGATGACATTTCTTAATTCTTGATGTTATATGTATGTTGGTAGCCTGGAGACAACTGTTACTTTCATCCATTTTTTGACCACTGGTCGTATATTACGAGTGATTCTTGGAGCGTGTATGGCAGCTTAGCTTTCAAGTATCGAAAGAAATTCTATATGTCCTCCATGCATTGACCTGTATCTGCAATGTGCTCATGTTATGTTTCCTCCTATTTCCTCTTATTCCTCATTCTTCAATCCATAAATCCTCAGAATCCCATAGAACAATCAAAAACACATGTAGTTGTCATTATTCCAAACATATGATCCTGGTTTCACCAGCCTCCCTTCTTTACCATGCCATAGTATCTTGTGGAAGTTTAACTCAAATGAACACTTCTTTACTTTCTAATATTCTATGTTCTATGTGATCTCCAATTGTTCGTGGAATATTATAATACTTCTAACATCAATCTTCATCCAATGATTGATTATACTCATCATCATTTTCTCTGTGAAGGGCTAGTATCCTTTCATGTTCCTTATCTTCCCTGTTGCCTCTTACTTTGTTTATTTGTGTATGTGTAGTGATGATCTACATGTTTTTTTTATCATAGCCCTTATTTATTGAACACTCATTCACTTATTGATAATTATTAATTGTTTTTTCATTATTTTGTTTTTTCCTTGATTTATGCACTCTTTACTATTTTCATTACATATGTACTTTTTGGAATTCTTGTGCAATATTATTTTTAACTTTTTCCATAGTTTTTTAAAGAAATAATACCCTTATCGTGTATCTGTCACTTCTCTAAGTCCTTCTCGACATTTGTAGTCTTATGACATTTAGCTTTACGATCATCTTACGTGGCTTAGTCATATTGAATATGATGATTCCACATAATTCTTCTTTACAACAAGGATTTAGGTACTCTTTTATGTGAAAATGATAAGAAAGCAGGATTGTTATTCATCATTCATCGATTAATGTTACATGTACAAGTGAAATGAGTCTACTCACACACCTATATTTTTTTTTTCTAAACCCAAAATAATTTTCTCCCTTTCTCATGTTCATTTAATGTTGCCTCCCCTGAGTTGCTTTAAAGACACTTGTCATGAATGGTTAATGATGTCTATTAGATTACCTTCTTGTATCTAACAGCATTTTTTCCATCCAATTCTCTTTTTTATAATAATTTCTTCTTTTCATGTTAGTTTTATGATATTATGGTAATATCCCTATATCTCTTTTTTCCTATGCCCATCCTTTTCGGTCTTTATGATAGTTACTTCACATATGAACATCTTTTTTGTATTTGCCCAATGTGAAAATTTATGCATGCTTCTTGGTAATTTATATGATTTAGGCATGCTGTATATATTTTATATACCTTTTCAGCAACTTTTCTGCTATAGATTTATTTTGTGAAAATGCTAGCTATATAGCCCTATCATGCTTGCTTATTTGATGAATGTTTCATATAGAAGTCTTTTCTGTGCAATAGTGTTTTGAAATTTAGTTTTATGAGCATACTTTATGCCTCAGTCAAAGGCATTCTAATGACTCTACTAAAATCTTTTTAACAATATGAGATTTAACTTTCTTTGTTCGTGAAAATGATAGGAATGAAGCTCTTTAATGCATCATTCCTTAATTAATGTTACACATAAAACTAAAATGCATCACCTCATGTACCTATATTAGTTTTTCTTCTAAACCCATATTACTTTTCCCCCATCTTATGTTCTTTTAATTCTGGTTCCCTTGATTCTTTCACAGACACTTTTCATCAATGGTTACTGATGTCTACCATATTAGCTTATGATAGCTGGCTCCCTTTTCTTATATCAATTTCTCTTTGTAATGATATTTTATTCTTCTGATTGTAGGTTTATGATATTATGATAATATTGCTTGAGCCTTTATTTTTTTATGGCCACCCAATTAGTTCACATATGAAGATCTTCTTTATATCTGGCCAATGTGACAATTGATGCATGCTTCCTTGATTTATGTTACACATATTTGTCATGTGTTTTCATTCATGTAATAGATGAGGACATAATATATTCAGCCATCTTCCTTGATGCAAGCTTCCTTGATTTGTGTCACAAACATCTGGCAGAATAATATAGCATCTAACAGCTACCCTTTACTTTTGGAATTATGAAGAGCTCAGAACAATGACCCTACTTACATATCAGGAGAAGATTTACTTTGACAACATATCTTGTATAGCTTGTAAGAATCCTCCTATACAGTTAAGGCTTCTTATATAAATTTTATATACCTTTTCAGTAGCTTTTCTATGGTTGATTTAATTTGTGAAAATGCTAGGTATATAGCCCTGTCACACTTGCTAGGTATATAGTATAAGAGTCAACTCATATACATATCTTAACTTTTATTTAGTATCATGTTTATTTGATGTAGGCTTCCTTGATTTGTTTCACAAAAACCTTGTCACAAATGGGCAAATATGAGAAGCTATATTGACTATAATCTTACTTAATTTTATTGACCTCTGCACCTTTTCATCTGTTCATTAGTTATCTACTTTTCCTAAATTCTTGAGCAATGTAAGTTTTAACCTTTTTCATACTTCATCATAAAATAATTACTCTAATCGTGTATCTATCACAAGTATTCTAATGAATCTACCAACATCTTTTTTTTAACAAGGATTTAAGTATTCTTTATTGGTGAAAATGATAGGAAGGGAGCTCTGTTGATGAAATATTCCTTACTTAATGGTACATGTATAAAGTTCTTCATCAGTTGCTATTACATCTCTTCCTCTTGCATTTTGATCACTTTTCAAGATAATGTCTCACATTAGAATGTCCATGATAAGTGACTTGCATGATGGCACAGATCATTAGGCTATAATGGTGAGAGTTATCTGAAAATATAATGTTTACCACAAGACCTACCCTCATGACCTCTTTTGCATTTCAATGATCCTTGTAGATGAGGAGGTATTTCATGTTTCTTTGATTAGTGTCTCTTCTGTTGTTTTTTCCCCACAATGATTAATGTTGAACTTATGAGTCTGAATCTTTTTTTTATCTTTAGGGAAACAAGATCCAAGCATCAGTAATGAATAAAGCCCTATTTGATCAATATACTTTGAGTCTCATCAAAGGCAATGTGTATTTTAAAAAGAACTTTGTCTTGTCACACAGCACCAACCAGAATAGGCCAACTACCCATCCATTTAAGATCACTTTCAGCTAACAAACTTATATTTAAGAGGATGTTGCCTAGTTACCAACCAATGCATTCTTCTTCTTCCCTATTTGTGACATTATTCATATTACCGAGAGCAAACCTATTAAATACTTGATAAGTATTACTTATACTAAATAGTTTAATTCTTCAATTTTTTACCACTTTCATTTGTTCAAGCTTGAAATGACCATATTCTTTTCCTGTAGATGTCATTGGTTTTGTCAAGACAATTAGGATACTTGAGGAATATCGCTTAAACAATGTATCTAAGAACAAGTGGAGATTCACCATCATGGACAAGGAGTACTTTATGAATCTTTATGATTATTTTTATATGTGCTTTTTTAATTAAAACATACATATATTTCTCCTCATTACTTCTGGCCTTACTATTTATAAATTCCTAGTGAAATTTCTATGGAATGTGTCTTATACAATGAGTGTGCCATCAATGCATACCAAACACACACTTGGAAAATGTGCAAAGTCTAATGGTTATGGTGCTGAATCTAGTTAGGATTGATTTTGGTGATGACAGTATTTCACTTATTCTGCTATCATTCATACACAATCTTTGTCCTTTATTTCTTTCATTTTCTTCTTATTCCTTCATTCTTTATAGCAAACCATAGGTTTGTAACTCATTCCATACAACAAGGGTATTGTTCAATCCAAACATTAAAAAAGTCATGGATCTTATAGCAACATGAGCCTAATATTTTATTACATGTATGCTTTAGTTTTGTTGCAACCTTACTCGTATATCATGTTAAACAAG